AGGGGGAACGGGGGGAGGGAGTAGGGGGATATCACAAACTCAAACTTAGGATACGAATCCCTCACAGATCGCAAGATTCCAAAGCGACTAACAACTACCGACCATTGTCTTGGACAACTGAACGGGTAGGTATACGATTAACTGAATCGTATAATTGTATCCCATGCTGTCTGTGGGTAGGTAGTTAAAACCAATTCTGAGAAACTTAATGACCAGGGAGAAGTGTTCAAGTATAAAGGCATAGGTGTTGAAGGTTTGATATAAAAGGCACCAAAGTGATAACGTTATAAGTGACCAATGTAGAGAATCTCTTTCGTCTCAAATGCTGGTTTCCATGTAGCTGTCAGATTCTGAATAGGAAGATTCTCTGTCGCAATCTTCTCCGTGACTATCTCTCCGTTCAGCGGTTCTTCGCTTTGTTTTAAGGTCTCCCTGAAAGAAACAGGGAAATAGGTCTTTCAATCGTAACCTTACCAAGCTACATTATTTTCAGGCGGTAATCTGCATGAAGTGTTACTTAGCGTCTTAACAAGCTTACACATATAATCTGCGATTTAACGCTTAAATTAAAAGCAGATAGCCATGTGAAACTGCAAGCTTTTTTTTAATGATGGGTATTGCGGCTTCCAAGACCTTTTTTAACTCTTATCTCAGTTGGGAGGAATGAACTGCTTGTAATTTAGCAAGAACTTGGTGCCCGGCCATGATTTCCAGCCTCAAGTACAACTGATTGTCGAAAGCTCAAAGTCTTAGTTCTTTGTATATTTAAATTACCACCCAACTTGTCTTGGTGCCAGAGAAACTAGTATCGAATTCTGTGACTTAGGAGTGTATTCATTTCCACCAACGTTGAATGCATGCGATGGAACCTAACAATATTAAACGCAGCGTTTTTTCCCTTGCTCATGCCGTACCGAGAAACAACTTTTAGCCTTTTTGCCTATCACGTCTTCCCCCAGAATAGTTTCTCATAATCACAATAATATTAGTCGATGCTAGCGACGCGACAGAAGCTCAAATATGCAATTCATGTTTAACACCGGATCACAGTAATTCTATAATTCTAATCAATGCAAGCGACACGACAGAAGCTCAATTCGAAACGTTACCGCCTCCTTCACCTTCTTCGCTAACAAAATTTAGACTGTCCCGAGTAATCGTGGAAGATGGTGTATTTTCAGAGATGATAGCGATTGAGCTAGATGAGAAAGAAAGGATAGCTGGATAAATATCTATCGATTCTATTGTATTAGAAAGATTCCATCGAAATCTTTCAATTCCACTAAATGAATATTTTATGATCTTATTTCCATAAATGATTGTTAAAAGGAACATTTCGTTAAGGATACCTTACCCCACTATTCCATGTTGTTTTTGGAGATAGCTGTTCTTAAAGGTATTAGGAACTTTATTTCATAGTACTTCATAAAGTCTCTTGCAATTTATTCCTTTCATGTTAACTAGAGCAAATGTTTAGCGTCCTCAGTTCATTGAACTAAATACTTAATTTATGTCTCGCATTTGATCAATGCAAGAGACGCGACAGAAGCTCAATTCGAAACGTTACCATCTCCTTCACCTTTTTCCCTACGAAATTTAGAATGTTCTAAGTAACCATGGAAGCTGGTGTATTTTCAGAGATGATAGCGACTGAGCCAGATGAGATATAGATGATAGTTGGATAAATATCTATTGATATCATTGTCTTGCCAAACTTCTTTCAAAATCTTTCGAATAGGCTGGATGAAAATTTTGCGATCTTTATACCTCTGTAAAAGAGAAGCATTCCTTGAAAAGTACTTTACCTCACTATTCTTTATTGTTCTCTGAGAGTACTGTAAATAAAGGTATTAGGAAACTTTATTTCATAGTATTTCATATAGTCTCGCGTGATGTTTGCCTTCCATGTTAACTGGAGCAGATCTTTAGCGCCCTCGGTTAATGAAACTGAAAACATAATTAAGTTTCCTCTGTTGACCTTATGTTTTATGAAAAGAAATGCATTCTGTCTGATTAACCCTTCTGTTATGAATACTTATTGCAGTAATCATGAGTTATATCTGATCAAAACACGAAATGAGCACAACTGTCTGCCTGGAGTTTTGAGTCAGATTTTAGAGCTCCCCGCGGCGCGCTTAAAGCAATTTTTTTTCACTAAACTATTTGACTCGCACGACGGACGTCGGCGAAAAGAAGGGACTGTTCGCAGTCTAAAGAAATGAGAACTGAAGTGATCTCCAAATTGATGTCCTTCAGCCAAATTACAATACATGCATTGAGTTTAGCCCAAGGCGAAAAACAAGCTGAATTGCGAAGAAACTGGATTTTTATCCAGACAAAACAATTATTGTCGTTGTCAACCAATTACTAAATATTACGCACCGCTAACTTAAATGTTCTCGAAGAGAGTAGACATCTTTATTTTTTATTTTTTTATACAGGATAGCCCCTTCAGTGTAGTAAACACTGGTATCAACGGGGGTCCTGTTACTCACCCATCCCACCCCAGGGGAGGACATCCATCACACAGTAATCTCGTGCGTGGGAAATTAACGTCTCCTGCCTCTNCCCGTCCAGTTTTCGTTCTTCCCACTGTTCTCATTTTTTAGCCTCCGCCCCCCGGTTAGCTCAATTGGTTAGAGCGCCGGATTGTGTTGTGCGGGAGGTCGAGGGTTCAAGCCCCGGCCGGACCAATACTCATGGTTTTAAATAACTGAGGAGAATTTGCTACTTTTCTATAATATCAAGGAATGGACAGAGATTCTAGTCTTCCCGGATGAGGACGAATAAACCGTAGGCCCCGTCTCCTGCAGGGTTAGGGGTAGGAGACGTTAATTACCCACGTTCGAGATTACTGTGTGGTAGATGTCCTCCCCTGGGGTGGGATAGGTGGGGAAGATAGCAGGTCCACATGGGCAAATTGCTGCCATAAACTTAACCTTCTCAAACAAGTAAAGATAAATGAATGAATGAATGACATGTAAAACAGATCTTTAAGTGTCTACTGCTTCATGTCAGGTGGCTGCGAGTGTCTGTAAACGACCGACAGTACAGCGGTGTTCTCAGCAGATTCTTGAAGCGTAAACTCAGTTGGAGTGAATTGGAAACCAAGTAAGTACCTCCTCAGTTATTTTCTGACCGGAATGTACAATCATATGACGATTTGCACTGATCCGTTATTTTATTTTTTTTTTGTTCAGTGTTGAAAGTGACGATCTGTTAGAGTTATTTGATTGGCTGTCAAAAGTGTGGTACCACCTGAATGAGATTCTGGTAGATTTTTGCGATTCTGACCCCACACTAGGTATTTACTCTTGACTTTGTGAGAATTTCTGCTAATTTAAATCAGCATTATTTCGAGTGTATGTGCGAAGGAAATCTCAGTTTTGAGTAAGTATCTCGTTCTGAAAAACTTTTCCTAATGATATCCCTTTCTCCAGGTCCATCACTGTTTTACTCGTGTCCAATGGACTTCAAAGTTGCTGAGGGTTGGTTTGTTAATGTGTGGAACTATAATGTGATCCCGTATCTACATCAGACTCTGCGGAGTGGAAGGAAGGTATTTCAAGACGTTTTATTCCTATGCAACTTTTGTTGTAATTTTTGATCAGCCAGCAGCCGTTTTTCGAGTTCGTCACTTAGCATGTCCCCTTCTTTTCTCGCATGGTTGTCTAGATTCGGGAATATGACTGCAGCGACTTCCTCACAACGATGACTGGAATTAGAGACAAAAGCAGGGTCAGGGTTAGGGTTAGGTTATGTTAGCATTTAAGATAGATAGCCCCTTCCCCAGTGGGAAGAATCTTGAAAGCAGACATTATTAGAAAGAAAGTTTTTCTTTCTACAGACTTCTTTCATGTTTTTCTTCTGCTAGAGCAACCAGGGGCGCAACAGAAATCGTTTTTCCCATGTTTGTGTGCTGTAACCCGAGCCAGATGAAAACACTTCTGGTTACCCCCAAATGCGTAAAGCATTGTGAGATGCTTAGAAAAGAATAGACTGAGAATTACAAGTTAGGCAGACACTTGAAGGAATACCTTGCTGAAACTTTCGGAACACATTGATTATCAGGGTACCTGAGTCAACTGTGTAGGCTTGCTAGCAAATACAGTTCGGATATAAATCTGTGAATGTCATTGTCATTCTATTAGCTAGGCTGTACCCCGACTATAAGGTAGGCTTTGATATTGCTTGCGATGTAACTTTCCACTTTAATAAGCCGTAACAAGGAGTTCCATCCAAACTGTGTAGTATTTCAATTGAAAGTGAAACAGACACCGTATTGATTTACATTTAGGACTGTAAACTACATGAAGAAAAACTGTTTTGAACGCGGCAGCTGACCTTTTCCTGGGTGCCTTGTTTCAATTTTAAGGTATCATTTCTGTGCATGATAGTCTCGGTCGCAGCCGTTTTTAGTCTCGTCACGGAACACTCCTCCCTCTTGTAGAGAGGACCGTTGCGTGACGAGACTAAAAACGGCTGCGAGGGAGACTATGTGCAAGAAGACTCTCGTTTCTTCCATCAGCTTAGTAAGTCTTTTTTAGACCTCTTCTTGGTTGTGTAATCGTTTATTCCCGGCTATGGCAAAGTTTATTTAAACCGCCTTATTTTCAAACTTGGTTAAGATGCGTAATCCGTCGAAGGAAGAGAAAATTATCAAGCGAAAGTACGCTACCGATACCCAATTGGCGTCTCCTATCTTATTTGAGAGGGATGAACTGTTCGTAACTTAGCGAGAACTTGGTGCCATGATTTCCAGCCTCAAGTACAACTGACTGTCGAAAGCTCAAAGTCTTAGCTCTTTGTATATTTGAACTACGACCCAACTTGTCTCTGTACCAAAGAAACTAAAATCGGATTCTGTGACTTAGGAGTGTGTTAATTCCCACCAACGCAGGTTTCTTTCCCTTGCTCATGCCGTACAGGGAAACAGCTTTCAGCGCTTTTACATATCAGGTCTTTCACCTGACTAGTTTCTCATGATCACAGTAATACTAGTCGTCTCGAGCGACGCGACAGCAGCTCAATTCGAAACGTTGACGCTTCCTTCACGTTCCCTTACAAAAGTTAGACTTTCTTGAGTAATCGTGAAGGATGATGTATTTTCAACCATGATAGCAACTGAGCCAGATGAGATACAAAGGATACTTAGATAAATATCTATTGATATCATTGTACTGGAAAGATTTCATCGAGATATTTCAGTTCCATTGAATGAATATTTTTAATGTAGAAAGCAACATTCCGCTAAGAATACCTTAACCCACTCAGTTCCATATTGTTTTTTTTGAGATAGCTGTTCTCAGAGGTATCAGGAAACTATTTCGTAGTATTTCATTAAGTCTCCTGCGTTGTTTTCCTTCCATGTTAACTGGAGCATTCTTCAACTCATTTAACTAAATGAGTTATTTATGTATAACACCTGATCACAGTAATTCTAATCAATGCAAGCGAGGTGATACCCTGCTGGCAGAGGCGTTTATTTGTTAAATTCCCCTACGGTCCAAGTAAAAATAAAGTCCTCTGCGCTCGGTCTATTAAATCTTCTTCGAGCGTGCGCCTGGGAATTATCCAAGTTTGTGGATAATCTGATTCGCAAAAACCGGTCAGAACCTGTGTTAAACACGTCTTTATGCGCACGCATCCTATTTAGCTATATAGCAAGACCAAGTGTGAGCCCACAATCACGGTTATGGCGTCTTTCAATGTTCTTCGGGAAAGTATTGTCAGTGTTTCGAAGAGGTTTTTACCTTCAAGCTACGATTTAACCTCATAGCAATTTAGAGCCGTCGAAAGTGTCATATCTGGTCGAGATACATTTGTTTCTTTACCTACTGGCCACGGTAAATCGTTGATTTATTAGCTACTTGTTCCTTTGGTGAACTACCTTCGCGCCGAACATGGCTGTTGAAAGTTGGCCGAGTAATACTGGGAACTAATTTGTTTCTAAGCAACAGGCCGCGCATGCTCGAAGAAGATTTAACATATCGAGCGCAGAGGACTTTATTTTTACGTGGACCGTAGGGGAAGTTAACACATAAACGCCTCTGCCAGCAGGGTAGCGAGGTGACAGAAGCTCAATTCGAAAGGTTGCCGCCTCCTTCACCTTATTCCCTCACAAAATTTAGACTGTCCCAAGTAACCGCGGAAGATGGTGTATTTTCAGACATGATACCCACTGAGCCAAAGGAGCTATAATGGATAGTTGGATAAATATCTATTGATTTCATGGTTTTGGCAAGATTCTTTCGAAATCTTTCGACTACAACGAATGACAATTTTACGATCTTTCCACCTCTGTAAAAGATCAACATTCCGTCAAAAGTACTTTACCACAATATTCTCTATTCTTCTTTGAGATTGCTGTTTCTATTTTGGGTTTGAGGTCGTTCATCCTGTACGTAAATGAGTAAGGTTGATACATACAAACCATTCATCAAATTATAGAAATCTTACACGTGAACGATAAGCATCAAAATGTAGGCTACAGATATGGTAAAATAATTTTATACACAGCATAGCTATCACTTTTCGAACCTCACAACAACTGTCCAAAAAAGAAGAGAGCACAGTATTGGCAGAATCTCCACTATCCTTCTCACACTACGTGGCACTAAGAGTAAATGGCTAATTTAAGATTGTTTTTAAATTGCAAATCAGAGTGGAGTAAGGCCAAAATTATAATATTTGCGATGGACTTGGTAAACATATGGGAATATATAGGAATATTGATGAGTAATTCAAAACTAAAATTATAATATGAAGTTAATCTGACAGCGGCAAATTAGCTGAATTGAAAATAACATAACTGTGTTTGGTGCGCAAGTTCGAGACAGTCCATTACCTGGGTGTCTCAGTTATTTCAAGTATGTGAATCGGTGACGACTCTCGCTTTTGCGATCGGGTTAATTAGCCGCCTCGATTAACTTGAGTTCTGTTCATACCTCTTCTTGGCTGTTTANAGATAATGGAGCTACGTTATTGGTGGGAACATGGCAACGAGAAAAACTCGTTGCCATGTTTCCACCAATAACGGAGCTCCATTCTCTGCCTTTAAAAGCACACACAACCCGCGATTCCTCTATTCGCTCCGACGAAGGGCTAACGCTCGAAACGCAGGCTTTTGTAATCGTTACGGTGGCCAATTTACCACTTCAACTTTGTTGATATATCCAAATTAATTCTTTTCTTGGTTGGAAGGGATGATTTGTTCGTGATTTAGGGTGAACTTGGCGTCATCGTTTCCAACCTCAACTGACTGTCGAAAGCGCAGATTCCTAGTTCTTTTTATATTTAAATTAACATCCAGCGCTAAGTTTCTGTGCCACTGGAACTAGAGTCGGACCTTTAACTTAGGAGCGTGCTAATTCCCGTCAGCGATGAATTCACACGACGGAACTTTCCTTTCCCTTGCTCACGCAGAACCGAGGAATGTGCAACCTCCAGTTTTTTCTATCAGTTCTTCCATCTGATCACAGTACTACCAATCCATACAAGCGACACGAAACCTCTTTGCCTCCTTCACCTTCTTACCGTGCGAAATTTAGACCGTGTGGAGGATGGTGTATTTCAGATATGTTAGCGACCGAACCAGATGAGATATAGAGGATAATAGGAGAGATATCTATTGATTCTTTAACACCGGCAAGATTCTTTCAAAATCTTTCGATTTAATTAAATGACAATATTATATGATTACTTTACCTCTGTAAAGAGCAACATTCTGTCAAAATTACTCTGTCCCACCATTCTTTACTGTTCTTCGAGAAAGCTACTCTTGAGGGCAACAGAAAATTTTATTTCAAAGTATTTCAGTCATATATTCTCGCGTGATGTTTGCCCTCCATGTTAAGTAGAGCAGATCTTTAGCGCCCGCGGACTATGTAATGGCACGACCGAAGCTCAACTGGAAACGTCGCAGCCTCCTTCGTCTTCTTCTCCTAAGAAATTTAAACTGTATGGGGAATGGTGTTTTTTCAGTGATGTTAGCGACTGAGCCAGATGAGATATAGAGGATACTTGGATAGATGTCTATTGATTCTTTTGTATCGACAAAATCATTTCAAAATCTTTCGTTCACAATAAATGAAAATATGATATGATCATTTTAACCAGAAGTTCTCTATCCCAACATGAGATAGTTTTTCTCAAAGGTCACAGAGAAATTTATTTCAAAGTACTTCAGTCATATATTCTCGCGTGAAGTTTGCCAGCCATGTTAACTAGAGCGGATCTTTAGCGCCTTCGGTTTATGAAACTGAAAACTTAATTAAGTTTTCTCTGTTGACCTTGTGTTAAAGAAAAGAAATGCATTCTGTTTGATTAATCCTCTGTTATAAGTATTTATGGCTGTTATCATGAGTTATATCTGATCAAAACACAAACTGTGCACAACTGTCCGCTAGGAGTTTGGAATCTGATTTTTTTAATCACCCTTCCGTTGTAATCTTGCTACTTTTTGCGATGTTCTCAGTGCTACTTTTCGAGCGCCTCACTCATGGAGCTTCTGCGCCGCATCGCCGTCACTGCAAGAGTTCCCCGCTGCGCGCTAAGAGC